ATAAATAAACTGTAGTTTATTGTAAAACTGTAGTTTTACAATAAACTACAGTTTATTTATATTAACTACTAGTTTACAGATCGCACCTCTAACCTACATCTTTCTTGGAACTTGTGTAGTATTTATTTTTTTTCTCATATTTTTATGCTAAAAAATTCTTCAATTAAAATTTTACGATATCCGATATGTTTTAATGCGTATAATTGGATCTGCTTTATATATTATACTGTAATATTATTAATCGTTATCATAAAATGCTGTAAATCATACATAACTCAGAGTTTAGTTTTAATGTTTTGTAAAATAGGTAGTACGAATAACTGCAGCAAAGATAAAACAAAAATGAATTAAATATCTCCTTATTTGAACAAGTTCATTTACGACAAAATGTATTAAAAGGAGCATAAAAACATTTAGCTCCTAATCAATTTTAATCAAAATGAAATCAGAATATTTTATTTATTTAACTTTAAATCTTTTGCGAAGAATCACTAAACGAATTATTGACACCTTTGTCATATTCATACTGATTCTTTTATCAACCATCATTGCAATACTAGTTGCAATATTTATTTTAGCATTTACATGTATTCCATATTTATTTTTCTTTTCTATTATAAATGTTGCTATCGCAATATTATTTCAAAAAACTATCAATAACAAAGTCAATAAATATAAACCTGGGATTTCTAATAATAACAAACATTCAGTTTCTTTATGGCTCAAACAATGGTTTGATTTAGCATTAACTAAAAACTGAATCTTTACTGACTTGAAATCTACGCTTTGTTCTTGTTCGAGCTAATAATTATATATTTATTTAAGTTCAATTTTAATTCTTATAAAAAAATTCATAAAGATGATCAAATTCAAGAAATTTATTTAACACCTAATAATCATATCGCCCAATTAAAAGTTAAAAAATTTACAAAAAAATCTCAAATTCAAATCTTCACCACTGAATTATATTTTAATTTACTATTCATTGTCCTAACATTATATAAACATAGAAACTAGATTAGTGATTTTATGAAACTTCAGAATATCTCTACATCATTCTGCCAATTTAATAGAACGATAAATAAATTTGCGGAATTAAACAACCAAATAGAAAAAATATTCTCTATTCAATTCTATTTTCAATTTTATAAAGCAATTTTACAAACTTCAAATGAGAATCATACAATACAACACAATGACTCTTCATTGGCTTTAGAACGTAAAGATTTATATTTTTAACAAATTCAAGATTCTACTAACAGTGAACGAGTACAAAGTTATCAAACTGCTTCTGAAACCGTTGATACTGAAAAATCAGAATTAGATGTGTTAAATATTAGAAAGGATATTTATTTAACAAATTATGAAGTCAAAAATGTGTGTGAGCAAGAAAGGTTCATAATCTATCAAAATATAAAATATACCATGAATGAATTTTTCGAAATCCTACCTAAAGATATCGAATTCTTATGTAAAGATACTCATCATTTAATAGAAGATATTGAATCAATATACAAAAAAATATATGATGATATTCTTAATTTACAAAAAAAAATAGAACATTTAGAAAGTTTTTATTTAAAACAGAAGTTTGGAGAGAACTGTATTGTTAATGGTGGTGTCCGCTGTATTGATAGGGTCCGTGTAGATGCTTCTCATCAAGATCTTTGTCAGTTTTTAAATTAGATCTGAATGTAAATTCGACAGAAATTGGTGCTTTGAATCGTTTAATTAATTAAGAAATTCTTACTTGGTGCGAATTCTTTGAATATTAAGGTTAAAATAGGCAATACTACCCATATCTTTTACTTTCACTTAAATTTAAATACTGAAATGAATGAATTATTTATTTTTTTGTGAAATCAAATTGGCTAAAAAATTGGCTTAATGCTATTCGGTTTGTTTAGCTTGAGGGATATGTGCTTATCTTATACCATATGCCCTTTCGTCAAGGAGCAACTGAATATTTGTGATTTAATGGAAAATCAATCAAGCTATCGTTTATTTTAGTACAGAGATTTATGGCTAAAAACACAATTGATAAGTAGCTTTTTAAAGTTTTTACTTGTTTAATAATATAATAAGTAGTAACGTTCTTTTCTTTAGAAATATTGTTCGCATGAGATTTTGCTATGAATGACTTGCAAAATGGGTCATTTTTAAAGCAAAAGCCTGAATATTTACAGCTAAAGACTGGTTTAATAATGAAGCTCCAATTGATTTTCTAGTTAATCACTAGAATCCTTTGGTTTGAGATGAAGAAACAATGGTATTTGATAAGTTTATGAGAATTTTTCGTTAGTCAGAATTTCTAGTGAAAATTTCTATAGCAATTCTCTCTCAGGCTTTTCAATATTGAACACTAGTTTTTAAGCCATTTATTTAGTCAATTTTATTTATTTATTCGAATCAAATCACCCTTTTCAATATTAAACCTTTTATTCGCGAAAAAAATTTTTACATTCACTGTTATAAAAACTTTTCTACCAAAAAAATTAGTCTTTTTAAATTAAAACTATAAAGAATACAATTTTTGAATTTATATTTATAATAAAAAATGAATTATTAGAATTCCTAAATTCAATAATTTTTTGTGTTAGATCACATTCTGAATAAATCTTACTGACGTGAAATATTAATTAAACTCAGAAAAATTATTTTACTTTTGATAGTAATAGTTCTGTAATATAGCATAGTAAGTGGTGGTATGTTGTGTCACATCATATGTTATGGCTGTATTATCTGATATCAGATATGTTGTATATATGTACGTATGTATGACTGTGAAAATTTAGGTGTTTCTTAAATTAAAAATAAATTCAGGTTTTCTATTTCGTATCTTGTAATTGCTTCTGTTTTTGCATTTATTTTGCTTGCCAAAGATTTAATTGTTTTTCTCCTTCCATTTTTAGCTGTTAAAATTTTGTTTGCTTTGTCTTATATTACTTGATTAAGTTCATGATTAAGTTCAAACATTGTATGGTAGTTGGTTTTTTATTTGAATATTGCAGTGTAATTGTAGCCAAATCAGCTTTTATTTGTATATTCGATTTTTTAATAATATTTTTAATGTAATAGTAGCCCTTTATATTTCCTACAATTGAAATTGTAAATCTTTTTAAAGGTCTGTTGTGTATTAGTTTTTCTTTGTTTAGGCATTTTTAGTGAACTAATGAAAGTTGTAATTTAATGTTAATTTGTCAGTTTATTATTTGATAAAATATTACAATAAATTTTTTTAAAACAGAACAGATATACAGAAAAGTTAATTTTGGAATAAATGCCCTTTTATAGCAAACTCGATAATGAACTCTTTATTATTTATTTATAAATATATTATATCCTCAATTATAACTGGTTATATATTAAAATATGATATTGAATTTTGTATAATACAAGATGAATGCACAGCATTATATATCTAGTTATAATATACTAATAATTACGAATTATTATAAATCTGATAATTCTTATGTTTCATGCCGAATTTATTATATTAAAATAAATTCGGTTCTGAATTTTAATTTATTTGTACAATTAAAGTTAAATTTGTAAACTCGATTGGTTACTTAATTAGAATTGGGTAAGATAATAGAACCGACGTGTTCTAATACGCGTGCTAAGCCTCAAAATGCAGCGATAATGCATGTTTGCAAAAAGAACAGGTCTTGAGAAAATGTAAAAGATTTTTTTTTAATCGAATTGAAAAGAATTCTTTATATATAGATGGCTATACAAAAATTGAATTTATTTAAACTTTAAGAAAGAATATGTTCTGAGAATTAAATTTCAAAATAGATTTCTTTGCTATTTTTTGCTTTACAATTTTTTTATTTATTTATTATTTATATTCTATTGTTGATTTGTTTATCTATTTGTTCAAAAATAAACAATTCAATGATCAATCCTCTCAAAAGAGTTCAATATTACAAATAATGTATACCAAATCGAAGATGAATCTATTCTTGTAATAAATGATGACAACAAAGAGTCAATAAAAGAAACAGCTGACAGTTCAGTAGAAGAAACAAATGACAATTCAATAAAAGAAATGAATGGCAATTCAGTAAAAGAAATAAATAATAATTCAGTAAAGGAAACAAATGAAGACATCAATACTCTCCAAAAGCAGATTGACCAAATGGAAGAAGAAAACAGATTGCTTAAGATGAACCTAAAAAATATTAACTATGCAAATTGTTGTCTTTGACAGCAATTTATAGAAGTATTTCAAAAAGAAAGAACTCGATTGCAAGCAAACTATCAAACTCGTTTTAATGAATATTTTAAATATTTTGTTCAATATTATGATTATTTTCAGAATTTAATATTACAATTAATGGCAGAGATTAGACGGTTAATAGCAAAGATTAAAAAGAGTGATACCTGATTAAAAGTTTTGATAAAGTATTTGAACATTAAACAAAAAAAGATTGCTGATTTAGAAAAACATCTTAAAAGCTTAGAAAATCGGATAAAAATACTTAAACAATCAAATTCTCGAATCAATAAGAAATTTTTCTAAGAGTAAAACTCATCTCGCTTTTATTTAGTAAATAAATTAAACTCTTATATGGCTGCTGTCAATAAAAATCAAGTCATCTTTTTTTTAAAAAAATCGAGTATTTTTTTTTAAAAAATTTGTAAATAATTTTTTTTTTTCAAAACTTAAATAAATATTAAAAAAAAAAAATACAAAACCTTTATTCGCTTAGGATAAGATTGAAATGACATTATTAATAAAATTCAGTATAACATCATCAAAAAGTTTCAGAAATAGAACGGTGAAAATTCTGCAAAAAGTAAAATTTCGAAAAATTTCGTTACTGATCATGTTACTCCAGAATTTGTATTCTGATTAGATATTTTAGCTCAAGTCATTGATATTTTTTTGTGTCTTTGCTATCACCTAATATTAGGGTATACTTAATCATGTTGCATTGGGGTGGTCGATGCACTATATAAATCAAAACTATATGTAGTATCATAAAATTTTTTTTAGAAAAATAATAATTATAGCAATTATTGCAAAATTTTAAATAGATACACAGCTCTAACGGTTTGACAGTTTTGAATAAAATTTTGTACAGGCTAGTATTACTTCTCTACAAACAAAGTTATAGAGCCATTTCTTTAAAAATTAAGTCTTTTCTTTATATTTTTTTTTAAAAAAAGAAAACAAATACAGTATAATAAGTATATTAGAAATTCTTTCATGATTAAATAAACAAATGGCTCTATAACTTTGTTTGTAGAGATATAATACTGGTCTGTGCAAAATTTTATTCAAAACTATTGAACTGTTAGAGCTGTGCATTATAAAGCATTTTATTCAATTATGTGAATCGTTAATTAAGATACGATTGACGCTGACCCTTCAAAGATTGTTGAAATTATTGAGATTGAAGCTGGCCCTTTGATAATTGTCGAGACAAAATCAGCATTCGAAGTATTGCTAATCCCAGAAATTTTAGCTGAAATTGCTTTTAATTTATCTCCAAGTGATATTTCAAGTTTTTTAGAAGTAAGTTGATCAATTAAAACACAGATATAAGTTGTCTTCGCTTTAGATGTTCTCTTTAATTAGGAAAAAGGTTGATCGCATTCCGGTTGTTAACATCCCCAGAAGCTTTTTAATTTTTTATTTCAAAATTAGAAAATTTTGGAGACAGGCCTACACTAAGTAAAATTGGGATTTCATTCGATCATTGCCACGTAATCGGCTAATCACATAAAATTGAATAACACATTATAATTGGTCATTTTAGAAACATGTGACAATCAACCAATCAAATTACGTTATATTCGTAAACTTAATTCTTTAACAACAGTTAGTTTTCTTTCTGTAATCCAGATATATTTAATAATTTAATAATTCTATAGTTACAATATATGTAGAAATTTTACTTTCTAGATAAGATACCTCTAGATATGAGATTATTTGGGATTATAATGTTGAACAAACAAATGGTTTTATTAAGAGATTTTGATAGAATAAACGAAGACAATGTGACCATCGTTTACAAAGGTAC